CCACTCGTGACGCTGGAACTGGCTTTGCAGTTGATGGTGACTCTGTCTCCAGGAGACACTGCCAGGGATTCTGGAGTCTGAGTCATCACAATCTGCCCACTGGAGCCTGAATTCACAAAGAGACTAGAAGTTAATACAAATACAGATCTAGTCAATCAAACTCAACAACATTGTGCCTTTAAAATATTCGCATGTGAATCTTTACACAATGACTCTCCCTAGTCAGCTGGGCATGATGGTAACATTGAGCACCAGACACTGTTTCATTCTAGCCCTTTTGCCTACGGCTCATAATTTTCTCAAACCTCTTTGTCTTAATTCCAGCTAAAATAAGATAAAGATTTTCATAAATCAGAGTCATTCCTGGCAACTGTTTATTCTTTAACATTAATATTTTGGTAATCCCTGAACGCCTCTAACAGTTTTGGTCTGTTTGTGCCAGACGCTGTACAGACAGTAAGTGACAGTCCCTGCCACAAAGAGTTAACTAACTAAATGGATCTTGATTGTCGATTATAGTTTATGGGTCAATGTACAACATTTCTAGTTCTTTTAAGCTTTACAAAGGATCATTGTACTTTTAATTCATCAGATTCCTTCTTGGTTTGATCCTTACCCTGAATCCAGAGCACTAACAGCCAGATGAGCTGAGCCTGTGAGATCATCTTCATACGTCTGAGTGGCCCAGTGCTGATCAACAAACTGTAACGAGTGACACGGAAGATTTATAACAGTTCAGCACTGCAGGGGAAGGGTGTGAAATATGCAAATTGGGTTCAGAGATGAAAATTCACACCTGGTCCATGAACATGTACAAAAAGGGAAGTGAAAGGGCCCTGGGTGACATAAGCAAATTCAACCAGTCGCTCCTGGGTACAAGTGTCTCTGTGTTAAAATGACATTTGTCTGGAATTGACAAGGAATAAAAGTTCTAAGCATACTGTGATATCTGGGATGCTGGTTAATATCACGGCTACACTGGAGATCTCACAACTGGTGATACAAAATGGTGTGATCTGCCTTTGAGAGAGAAACAGTACTGGGGGGTGAGGGTCTTAAAGCAGGGAGAATCATCAGTTAGCAGAGGTAAATCCTGATTAGCCCAGTCTGTGCCATCCCTGCTCATCTCCACCTACACTGCGAAAAGTTTAAGTTCTGCTGAATTGATGTTTTTGAATGAAAAACTGTTTTGTCAGAAAATTCCCATCCATTTCCAAGTCTCTCCTTTGCTTCAGTCTGATATTTAATCTATTTGATTAAATCAGCAATATTAGTAAAAAAAAATATTTTGACCTAATGGTCTATTTTCTGCTCAGGTAAGTTCAGATGCATGTTTGTGGAAAAGAAGCTTGGTGCTAAACAATTCTAATCCAACAAATGATGAGTGTTGGCATCCCTGTCCTGAGGAACTTGCATTGTCAATAGGGGAGATATTTGTTTTAGAAGATGGGGAAACTGAGGCAGAGAGAAGTGTTGCATCCAAGGGTGCCTAGTGTTAGTGGGAGAAATGGGAAATAGACCTCATAAACTTTTGATATTGGACTTTTCTAGGCTCATTCCTCTAGAGCTGCCTCTCACTGGTCCGTATCTGAGCAAAAATTCCCATTGACTTCACTGGTAATGTTGTTGCTCACGTAATGACTGCAGCATGTCAGCCTGAGTAAGTGTTTGCAACACCCCTCAAAATACCACTCTCCTGGCAAGAGTGATTTTTATGGCATTAAAGTAAAAGTAACATTAAGGGGTTTTTCATTCTTATAGAATCATAGAATATCAGG